TATAACCGTGATGTGTCACAGGTGGCACGCAGAAGCCATATTGGTGGGCACATGAGCTTAGCTCTGGTGCACGTGTGCGTACCAGCCAGCTGATTGTCAGGCTTTCTGGGCCCACCAGAAGTCAGGAAACAGGCTGTTTTCGCCTCCGGGATGGAGGCTGTTTTTGCCCTCCCCAGGCTCCTAGAAAGGAGTCTGGAGCCTGGGGAAGGCGAAAAACGGACCCACCGTGCCATCGTGTGCCAAAAGTGGGGAAAGCACGGGGAGTCACGTGCACATGTGTGGGGGGCAGGCACATAGAATTATGGGTGTATGCCCGTTTGCGCACGCCCCACCCACCAACCCAGCGCTCCCCCCCCCGCACTCCCCCCAATTTTGGCACGTGATGGCAAAAAGGTTAGCCATCACTGACCTATAAGGTCCCTTCCAACTTTGTTAATCTGTTAAATCTGTTTCGAGGGCAAACAAGTTTGTCTTTTGGCAGGGAATTAAAGGGAACGGCACAAAGTTTATCTTACTGGTAGGCAAAGCAAGCACAGATTGGCTTGGGCATTTGGGTCAGAAGGGGCCAATAAACAGAGCCTTTCTTTCCAATCAGCCTCCAATGTCTTTCTCCCAGCTTGGAACTGAACCAGATGGATATTTCTTCCAATATGTCTTAAAGGGAACCACTGCAAAAGTGAGATATAAACTCAGGGGCTACTGGATGATGATCAGGATCTGAAAAACATTCGCTCAATTAGGAGTCCCCTATAGCAAATACAGCAAAAAGTCCTCTTACCCTCCGAATTGTAAGGTCCAACAAATTAAAGCAGCATTTCCCAACCTTGTTGCCTTCAAAATATGTGGAGTTCAACTCCCAGAATTCCCCAGCCAGTGTTACTGACCGGGAAATTCTGGGGATTGAAGTCCAAGCATCTTCAAGCCAACCAGGTTGAGAAATAACTGGTTTAAGGCCGCCTAATTTGCCAGGAATGAAGTGAGTTTTTGCTTAGCATATTTTCCTCGGCAGCTCCAGTCGCAGCTGCTTGTTGTGGCCTGAATAGTGTCACACTCCCCCCCGCCCCACAAGAGATGACTGAATTTAATTGGAGATGAATGGGCACCTCCCTCTAGCTAAATGACATTTTCATTGGCAACGAACAAGGGGATAAATCCAATTACACCACAAAGAGACTCCCTAATAGGCCGTTCAAGTGGAAGAGTGCCTGACGGGACAGAGACAAGGCGGGGAACGGCTCTTCCAAGCCAGTCTGGGAAGGGACCCCCAGTTATGGTATACCGGGCAGATACAATGTGGGCAAAGTTCTGGCAGAGGGGGAAACAGTGTCGGGTGGGGACTGGCCACTATCCACACTGGATTAAAGCTAGAAAGATGTCAAAGGTCAGGCTTTTAGAAGAATCCCTGAACGGAAGTTCCTTCGGTACATATTAGAACCGCAAACAGGGAATCACAAATCAAAGCTTTTCGTTGCCACCGAAGACTAATCACTAAAACCATTGTAGTAACTGCTCAAACACCCGTTCTTTATCTGTCTAGAAATTCAGCACCTGTTCACATAAAATCCTGCAACAATTTAAGGGCTGAATGATATTCCATGGAACGGTATTCTTCTATAAACTGGAAAACCTGAAATACCATTAACAATTCTGGCATAGGCAGTTCAACTATGCTCTTTTCTTAAGGCAGTGATTTCTGAGGTGATTTCTCAAGTGATAAATGTAAATTCACATTTCATTTTGGGGAACAAATGAAACATGATTTAGACAAACTGCACATTTTTGATTAAATAACCTCTCAGCCCCACAATATATTTAGCTGCGCTGTAGCTTACTGTAGCTGTGCCAAAGTTCCTAATGTGATTAGGACAGGTATGTAAAAAGTCTTGGTAAGTCTATGTATTTTAGAGTAGCCAAATTGGGGTGAGGGTGGGGATAAAATCTATAATTATTTGTGCTTTTGAAGAGTTAAGATCTGTCATCTTGTTACTTGATACCTATTTGGAAACTGTTTACCATACATAATTTTGATAGTAGTAGATATCTGTTAAAGCTCCAATTTTTTTCTTAAAGCTTTAATGTGCTTTATTAGTAATTTGAGACCAATATTTTAACTTGTCCATTTCTCTCCCCCAGATTTTTGTGTTGATAGCTATTAAAATGANTAAAAATTCCCTAAAAATAATTTAAAAAGATATTCTAGAAATAATAAAAAATCCTTAAAAACCATTCAAAAACAATAATATATAAACAATAATTAAAAATACCATTCCCTGCCTAAAAGCCCTTAAAAAATTCTATAAACAATAAATAAATAAAAATTCCCTAAAAATAATTTAAAAAGATATTCTAGAAATAATAAAAAATCCTTAAAAACAATTAAAAACATATTCTATAAACAATAATTAAAAATACTATTTCCTCCCAAAAAGCCATTAAAAATAATTCTATAAACAATAAATAAAATATCCTTTAAAAAACATTAAAAGCATAAAGAAAAAAAATCGAGTCACTTACCAGCAGGAAGAATCAGCAGCTCTCCAATATGAAGAATGCAGGGAGCAGGCAGGTGACCAGGGAGCAGGCAGGCAACCAGGCAGCAGGTAAGCTGGACTGGAGGGACACATGGACAACTCAATCAACTAGGCCCACCGCCTAGGCTGGGGATTGGCTGGGGAGTGGGGAGGGTTGCAAGAAAGATCTCAGCTGAGTGCCACGCAGGCCTGCGGTCTAAGCGAGCTCAGGGATTGGCTGGAATGAAGGCCCCAAATGATCCTTGGACTCACCCAGAGTGCAGAGCCGTGGCAGGCCACTCCAGCTGACTTCTCGCTGGAATCATGAAATTACAGGTCAATCAATTTTACATCAATAGCTAGGAAGGTCCAAGAAAAGATAATCAAGGAGCAGAATTGTGAGCATTTAAAAATGAACAAGGCAGTTAATAGGAGCCAGCATGGGTTTGTTAAAATCAGGTCATGCCAAACAAACAATAACTGATTTATATACAACATTCCTTCTTTTTTGGAGACCATTTTCTTTGACCATTTGCTGGATACCTCTCAAGTAAATTATTGTAATGGAAGTTACAATACAAGTGAAAAATGGTGTGACTTTGTTTATTTTGAAGTAAGTATAGGAGACACATTCAGGCAATGCTTCCCATAATTGTCAAGGTCAAAAGTTGACATACAAATCCTTAAATGTCTTGAACCCTGTCTACCAAACAGAATGGCTTCTCCTAAGCTGGGCATTGTCTTGTTTCTAATTTTGGTTCCTCTCCAGCAGATCTTTACAGATAGTTGGGAAGCGCTAAAATGGAACAGCTTTAACTTATATTAATGTTTTACTACTAATAGCATAAATATTTAAGACAGCTAGTCACAACAACAAACCAACCCAGCTGCTGCTTTATCCAATATGATTGTGCCCCACTCCAATTTTTAAGTAAAAGGAAAATGGGCTACAGGATAGAGCATTTTGGCCTTTTTGCTATTGTCAAGACCTCATTTCAAAAATGGGCTATTATGGTCTTCATACCTAGGGAAGAAGTGGGGTTACCTTTATTATTTCTATTTGTATTGGTAATATCTTTTATTGTAGGGTGTTTTTTTTCTTATCCTTCCTTGAGACATTAGATTGGGATGTTACATGGGTGTAGTTTTTATATAAGTAAATATTTATAGCCATCTTGGTGATACTTATTAAATTAGAAAAAAATGAGCAATATCAATTAATGTTATACAGCTTTACTTCAGATAAAATTTAATTGTAGATTGTGTAGTTCAAGTGTCAACAATGTGAAGGCTCCTCATTGATCAACAAAACCAAGTTTTGAATAAAGGAATGCAGCTATGTTTTTGAAAGACTAAGGTAATTATTATCAGGAACAATAATAGCCTCTCATGAATATCCAAGGTCATTAACTTTATTGTATGTCTCACAGTACAAGAATTTTATCAGATTGCTTGTCTTCTCTTTGAGAATCATCAGATAAGTCTTCATAGACCTTGGGAACAGTCAAGCTTATGCCACTTGTGGCTGCCCAATGACTCCAAGTTAGATTCTTGCTTGACCCCATCAGCAATAAAAACACATATAAATAGAATGCATAGATATACTATATGCATGTGAATCAGTGGTAGGTTGCTCATCCCGTTCCAACTGGTATGGTTGGAACAGGGCCGGCAGCGTCCTCATGCACGTGCGCAGTTCATGCATGCGTCTTAGCACCTGCGTGATGCTCCAGCTGCTTGCGGAGAATCGCGCAGGCGCTGTATGTGACATGCGCCTGCGTGGAAGCGCAAAAGCCTTCAAAGACGTGTTCCCGAAAGTTACTTACTTCCGGGTTCACCGACCAACTGGTCCACGCAGACTGCCGTGGACTGGTTGAAACTCACCCCTGATGTGAATCTGTAAACACACATACAACTCTGTTCCCCCTTTCTATTCCATAACCTTTAAAAAAATCGAATAATGGGTGTTTGTCAATTAGTTGGGAACTTTTCTTATACAAATGTGTTTTGTTTTATTGCTAGGTGTGATGAAAGTATTATTTAGTGATAAAATGTTCCTCACAACACAGAAAGAAATTGGAATTTTAAAAATACATATATTATCTGACTGGTAATTATTTAAAAAGACTGTGATTAATTCTGCTTCCATAAAAACTCTCCTGGAAGCTTGGTAAACATGAGCAAATCTAAGAATTGAGGCAAGATAAAATGCACACATGTTTACAATTTCATTGGAAAGTGGATCACTAAATGAAAATAGTGAAAGTTTAAATCAGATTTGAGCCATAGTGGATAAACTTCAGAGAAAACTAGATCATTTATACATAACTGGGAGCTTAAATAACAATGGGACAATGGTTGCTTTTAATCTTGTTCTTACCATGTACAGTATGTATGACTGAAACAGCAAAATGTACTAGCAGTGAACCACTTGCTATTGTGCATGATTACTTTCAAGCCAGTGATTTTATCATTGGTGGTATCACATCTCTTATCACCATCCCTACAGTTCCTCCTAACTTTGATGAAGATCCTCACTATTCATTTAGTGATGAATTTCTATGAGCAACCTTCTTCCTTTACCCCTTCCTTCTTTTTCTATTAGTATACATGTGTGAGAGTACTCATATACAGCACCTGATTATATTTATCACAATTATTGAAAGTGATTCATATTGAAATTATGTACATAAACTAAACATTATTTTTTGTGCTGCCCATGATATTTGATGGATGAACTGACAGTCTAGTAAATTGGTCAATGATTTAAGTAGTAATCAGGTACTGATTAGCTGGGATTAAATGGTTGGGGTTAAAGCAATTTATATTGAGACTTGTTGTGTTTAGCAAATAACTAAGTGAAGTTAAACATTACAATGGCTGTTTTTATTTGATTGCAACAAACCATGCTTAGGAGAAAAGATTTTAGAAAGAAAATGTACACCTACCATTAGCTTGCTAGGTAACTTTAAAAAATGCATATTTTTTAGTTTACTTATGGAATTAAAAATATTATGTTATCCTAATAATAATGTGATTCTGTACTAAATTTTATTTGATGCTATATTCTTTTTATCATAGGAGTACAAGATAAAAGTATAATACATTTTCTATTTTTAAAAGGAACAAAGCATTTCCATTTAACAGAAAACCAGTCATGGACTCAAAAGGATTTTTATAAATTGTTTTCAAGGCAAATGAGAATGAGAGAGCAGTCTATTAAAGCATAACTTTCAAAATATAGTTAAGATGCTAAAAACCTCATTGCTTTTATTTCACTGAGAAATAAAGGTTCTCGTAGTCCTCAATTTACAACAGTTCATTTAGTAATTGTTCAAATTTACAGTGGCCCTGAAAAAAGTGATTTATGACCATTTTCACAATTATGATCTTACAGTCTCATGATCATGTAATCAAAATTCAGATGCTTGGCAAACTGGTTTATACTTATGACCATTGCTGATTTGCAAGGTCATGTGATCACTTTTGCAACCTTTTATCAAGCAAATCGATGGGAAATCCAAATTCAATTAACAATCATGTTACAAACTTATCAACTGCAGTGATTAACTTAACTGTAGCAAGAAAGATTGTAAAATGAGGCAAAACTCACTTAAAAATTGTCTTATTCAACAACATAAATTTTGGATTCAATTGTGGGCATAAATTAAGGACTACCTGTAAAGAGAGTCGAAGAAAAGCCAAGGATAATCCCACTGGAAAATCATTCCAAGGGTATCCAACATACTCCTTATGTGCATCATTTAAAGAATGCATGAAATAGAACTCTGAAATAGTTTTGATTCCAATAAAATGACATAATATGGCAAAGCAAGTGTTCAATTCTAAGAATTTCAATGAAGCATAAAAATGTTAGATGACTTTCTTGGATGCAGAATTTCCCTTAATGATTATTTAATTCTAATAGCAGAATTCTTACCAAGTACTATCAACATATCTTGGCTCTGATATTTGCTGTAAAGGAGATCAATGAAACCCCTGATATCTTACCGAACATCACTCTAGGATGCAGAATGTATGATAACTATGCTGGAACATATACGTCATATGCCACAATGAAACTTTTCTCCGGACAGAAGAAATTCATCCCCAATTATAAGTGTGAAATCCAGAACAAACTCATTTCAGTCATCGGAGCACTTTATTCTGGAATCTCTTTCAAGATGGCACGTATTTTGAGCATCTACAAAGTTCCACAGGTAGGAAATTAAAGAAACT